AACAAGTAGAATAAACACCCAGTCGAGGGATGAAATGTGGATCAACGCTGTGTCCCGGGGGTGAGAAGGGCTCCCAAGACTTCACAGCACCCACAAACCAGCCCAAAGGACCCCAAAAGGCAAGAGTCCCTTCAGCCAGAGGTTCCCCGGTTGACTTGGCCACTGCTCCCTTTTCACTGTGTCCCCCACCCCCAAATCCACCTTCACCGAGGGAACTGCACTGGAGCGCCCAGCCCCCTCCCGCCCACAGCCCCAGTGCCCCTCCGAGTACCAGATCACCTGCTTTAGGAAACACTGACTTAAACCCCGACCTGCGTAGCGGGCCCTGGCCCATGACCCCCATTCAACACATCCTGGGGGTCGAGGATGTAGTCTCAGAGCTCATCGTCTAGGGACCAGAGCCCCCTTTAAAGCATGCATGCATTTTGGGGGGGGGGGGGTCCCAGGCTGAGGAGTCACTGCCCCATGGATGTGAAGACAAACACCAGCTTGAGGCCACTCCTAGCAGCTGCTTCTCAGGTGGGGCAGTCCCCTCCTACGAACAATGGGACAATGGACAATGGACGTGGGCAGAAACATTCCCTCCCCTCAGCCGAATCCAGTGGACCCCTCCAGAGGTGCCAAGTGGATACTAAAAGGGAAGATGCACAGTCCAGTGGCTGGTCCCCAACCACCAAACCAACATCAGGGACGCCCTCCCCACAGGTACCTGGTTGCGACTGTGAGGATGGTGTCCACTGCCTGCTGGACTTAAGACTTTAGAAGGTGCATCGCCTTCCTCACACGGTCAACTAGCACAGGACCCAGTGCTGGCTCTGAGGCATAGACCCAAGGGGGCAGAAAGGACTGTGTGTCCACCTGTGTGCATGACTACCCCTGCCCCCAGAACTGAAGTGTCCAGTATCAGAAGCCAGACAAGCAGAATGAGGCAGTTTGGGACCCTGGGACTCCATGTGAGCCCAAGAAGGAGTGGGACTGCTCCGGGCTTCTACTGGGAAATGAGTCCCACACTCAGGAAGGAAAAACTCAGTGCAAGGCTCGGCGTTCCACGGAAAAGCCACCAAGCAAGCAAACGTAGAGGAAGGAAAGGGATGAGAAGCTTCCGGGGCCTGCGAAGAGAAGACGGGGGAGCTAATGCCTAACGGATACAGCTTCTGTTTAGGGAAAGGAGAAAGGTTGGAAAATAAATGGCAGATTTCATATTAAATTTATGTTATGTTTGACAACGTGAACCTCACATGGGCCATGGAAACTGGATGCCACCATCGTCTCCCTGACTGCTCTCCTGACACTGGTCTATCTGGGGTCAGAAATCATCACTGAGGGCCCGAGAGGTAGGACAGCAGGCAGGGGCCCAGCTTTGCAAGGGCTGAGCTGGGCTTGATGTCTCAGGAGTGAGCCCTGAGCACAGAGTCAGGAGTAAGTCCTGAGGAGAGCCAGAGTGGTCCCTGAGCACGGGGCCAGGAGTAAGCTCTGAGCAGAGCCAGGAGAGAGCCCTGATCACGGTCCAGGAGTGAGCCCTGAGCACAGAGCCAGGAGCGAGCCCTGAACACAGAGCCAGTGTTGAGCCCTGAGCACAGAGCCAGGAGTAAGTCCTCAGCAGAGAGCCAGGAGTGACCCCTGAGCACAGGGCCAGAAGTGACCCCTATAGCACAGGGCCAGAAGTAAGTACTGAGCACCGAGCCAGGAACAATCCCTGAGCACAGAACTAGGAGTGATCCCTGAGCACAGGAAGACCCCAGCATAGGCAGTGACCCTGCCCCCAACAGAGGTCCAGTCAGGACTTGTGGGGGAAGCAGAGGACAGCTGCTGTGACCTCCAGGACCCAGTGACTGGTGGCCTGCTGTGGGCCAGCACCTGATTGGAGAGGCTGACACTGAGGTGACCACATCGCCCCATGCATGCTGGACACCCTGTTTGACCCTGTTTGACCTGGTAAAGTCCTGCAGGTGCTTGGAACTCCTGAGTTTCCAGGTATCCCCCAATGAACGTCCAAGGGCACATTTTCTCTGACAACAAGACCTGCCCGGGGTCACTCCCGTGACACCAGGTGGGGTGAAACTGCCACCCCATGCCCAGCTCACAGCGTACTTTCCGCAGAGCCAGCACGGCCCCCAGGACCCGCACGGCACATACCCAAGGGTGGCACCAGTTCCCTCTTGCCTCCCCATTTAAAAATAAAAATCAGATTTGTATTCCCACACACTCCAATTCCACTGCTCCTTCTCTCGGAAACATGCATGTGTGGTGCTGGGTGCCTCCCGGGAAGAGCCGAGGGCTGCGGGTTCCAGGCGACTGCTGGAACTCGAGTGTCTTCCCCAGTACCAGGTGGGAGGCCGGGAAGCCTCGGCACTGCACCTGCTCAGAAGCCAGTGACCTCCCACACACATGCAGTTACCTGCAAGCCCATGTGCGTTCCCCACCACTGCCCTGACGTTCGGTCCATGGGCTGGGGAACAGGACGTCCTGGAGGCTTAGCAACCCAGGGCCCCGACTTCCAGGCTCTCAGATGAAAGCTATTCTCCAGCCTCCCACAGGCGAACACGGGGCTCAAATGTGGGCTCTTCCGGAACACAGGGAGCCATGCCTGGGATGCGGGCTCAGAGCACGTGGTGACGGACCTCAGGGCCAGTCTTAGCGCCCTCATTCCCCAGGCCACTGCATAATAGACAGGCCAGGGGCGGAGTGATAGCACAGTGGGAAGGGCACTTGCCTTGCACACAACTGACCTGGGTCCAATCCCCAGAATTCTATATGGATCCCTGAGCACAGCGCCAGGACTAAGCCCTGAACACTGCTGGATGTGATCCCAAATCAAAAATAAGTGGAAAAAAGTAATGGGCCAGGGACGCGGCTCTCCTGGGCAAGCAGCTGTGCTGGTGTGCGAGGACCCAGCAGCACGGTGGAAGGACGGCCGGGCACGGCAGCCTGACCCCAGACCATCAGCAGTCAGAGCGAACCTTCCAGTACAACGGAAGTGGGGGGGGGGGAGCAAAACCCAAACAAAGTGATTCCCCCAGGAGCAGCCGCCACCGAGGACCCTGCCAGCGTCTCCCCAGCTTCCAAGGGGCTCATATCTGTTTCAAACACAAACCGTCCCCCATGGGCTCGAAAATGTTCTCGGGGCCTTCCCTGCCAGCTCCCCAGGGTGTGGGCTTTACAGTAACTAAAATCTACTCACAAAAGAAAGTCATCCTCTAAAGATGATGAGTGACAGTCAAGGCCCCAGAGCACTGGTGCGGGAGCCTGTAGTCTCACGTCACCTGCATGGTGCCAAAGAGAGCCCCCCAGAGCCCTCCCACCCCCTCACGAGTGCAGGCTGGGATGGGAGATAGTTCAGTGACAACCCAGAAGTGATCCTGGCACCCATATGGTGATCCCTGAGCACCCCTGGGAGTGATTCCCTGAGAACCACTGGGCGTGGCCCAAAATTAAAAAATAAAGAGAGGGTAGAGCTGCCAAGGTCTGCTAAGCACTTGGGAAGAAGTCGGCCCAAGGGACTGAGGGCTCCCAGGAACCCCATTCTCCTGCCAGACCCCCACCTTTGGCTAATCAGCTCCCCTGGCGATTTGCTTTGTAACTGGAAGCAATAGCCGTCACTTTCCAGGAAACACGACAGTGGACAGTGGTTTGACTGGTCCTCTGACTCCCCTGAGTCTCTGGCTTTTCCCGGTCACCCACTGGGAGGAAGGGACCATTGGGGACAGGACCTTGTGGCAAGGGATTAAGGACCCGAGGTGACCCAGGAGCAGACACCTCCCCAGCGGAAGGAAGCCGAAGAGGGAGGGTGGGTGGGGGGCTTCCCCCCTGAATCCCCACCTCCTTGGCAGGCCTCAGTCTCCTCCTCGACGCCCCCCTCCCCGCCCCCCATCCCTGCTGGCACACAGCTACCGCGCTTACACTTCTCAAATTCCGCTCCGGTTTCAATTTTACAGACTATAAAGCGTACAGAAAACAGACTCTCAACTTTCGACCCTCCTGTTATTAAACTCTCCTTACACAAAGAACAATGCGAACGAGGATTAGGCTTTCAAATTATAGCTAAGTCTAGGGTCGTTCACTATTTTTTTTTAAGGTATCAAACATGGAAGTGATCGATTATGATAATTATCCTTCTTTTAAAAAAAAATCTCTTCTAGTTCCTATAGACTTTTCACCCTGTAAAGAAATGACAATTGGGGCTGGAGTGTTAGCACAGCGGGTAGGACGTTTGCCTTGCACGCGGCCGGCCCGGGTATGATTCCCAGCATCCCATAGGGTCCCCTGAGCATCACCAGGAATAATTTCTGAGTGCCAGGAGGAACCCCTGAGCATCGCCAGGTGTGACCCAAAAAGCAAGAAAAAAGAAAGAAAGAAATGACAATTAAAGTGTAAGAAGGAGGGCCTGGAGAGACAGGACAAGGATTAAAGCATTTGCCTTGCATGCAGCCAACCTGGGTTCGATCCTGGTAGCCCATAGGATCCCCCAGCAGTGACCCCTGACACAGTTCCTAAGCACCACCGGGTACGGGTCCCAAATCAAAATAAAAATGTAAGAAACAGGAGCTGGGGCCATAGCATAGAGGGTAGGGTGCTGGCCAACTCAGTTTCACTCCCCGGCCTCACAGACAGTCCCCCTGAGGATGACACCAGAGCACAGAGAAAGTGCTGAGTACAGCCAAGTGTGGCCCCAAAACAAATAGAACAAGGCAAAATAAAACAAATGAAAATTCACAGGGATTCAATAAAAAAAAATTTTTTTTTTAATTCTGGGGGCTGGAGTGATAGTACAGCGGGTAGGGCGTTTGCCTTGCACACGGCCGACCCAGGTTCGATTCCCAGCATCCCATATGGTCCCCCAAGTACCACCTGGAGTAATTCCTGAGTGCATGAGCCAGGAGGAACCCCTGTGCATGACCAGATGTGACCCAAAAAAAGCAACAACAACAACAACAAAAATTCTGTCTCTTCTGAGTAATGTTGGAGAGGGGGGGGGGGGGGGGGAAGAAACAGAGTTCTACCTTATATCCACCGATGCGATGCTCCTGCTTGAATTCCTTCCCATTTTTCAACCATCTCATAGTAGGAGTCGGGTTGCCCCCAGCTGGGCAGCGAAATTTGACCGTGTTGGCTGCGGGGACCGCATGCAGTCTCTTTTCCATCTTCTCCGTGTTGGTCCAGTAGGGCGCTCCTGTCAGTGGAAAAGCAAGGGCATGAACAGATGCCTGATTCGGACCCCTCCACTGAGCTCCCGGCAGGTAAGGTCCTTCCACAGCACCTGGGAGCAAGTCGACATTTTTCAAACTCTTGGGGTGCAATGTACACTGGGCTGGGGGCAATTGCTGTAGCCTCTTCCAGATGCCAGAGGCACCCCTGTCCCTCTGTTCGCCGTACTCAGGTCTAGAGTTGCGTTGCATCACAGATTACAACGTTACCTGAAGTTCAGCACCAACATCATCCCAACTGGGTCCTCCCCAAACAGGGCACATCAGCATGGAAGCGCCAATTAAAAAACCAAGTTATGCTCAAAAGCCCACCAACTCAACCACCAGTGCCTTACTTCACTGTGTGTTTTTTTTATTTGTTTAACTGAAATTAGGTGGTTAACAATGCTATTAACCATGATTTCTCACGCACATGATTCCAACGCCACACCCATCACCAGTGTACCACTCCCCCTTCTGAAGACCCCAACACCCTCTCCCAACCAGAATAACTAGCACATCCTGATAGGATTAAGTCCTTCATGTTCTTTCCCAACACTTTACAGAACAAAGTTCAAAAACCATTATTACTGACATTTTTTTAATTGGGGAAAAAAAATCTTTTCGTGGTTGTATATGCCTTAATTTTACCAGTATGCCTACCACCATTCTCACCAATGAAACGTTACTTCATTACCTAGAAGTGTACTTATACTGAACAGTATCCTCTAAGTCGGGAGACAGAAGCACATTTTTAAACTCAAGAAAAGAGATGGTTTCAAATAGTCGAGGGAGGAAGGTTTTGCCTAAACTCACAATAACGGTACATCTTCGTTCAGGCCACAAATGCACCAAAGGCCCTTGTACGCTTAACACACTCATCCTGATGATAGCCCAAACCAGAAAACACAGTTCTAACTCCTGTTCACAGATGGGAAAACCAAGGCACAGAAGTTATATAATCTGGGGCTGGAGCAATAGCACAGCGGGTAGGGCGTTTGCCTTGCACGCAGCCGAACCGGGTTCGATTCCCAGCATCCCATATGGTCCCCTGAGCACCGCCAGGGGTGATTCCTGAGTGCAGAACCAGGAGTAACCCCTGTGCATCGCCAGGTGTGACCCAAGAAGCAAAAAAAGAAAAAAAAAGTTATATAATCTGCCTCACAATACAGAACTAGAAAGAGGTACAGTTGGGATTGGAACCCAGGATTCCCACAGCCCATTGTCTAAACCCCTGCTCTCCCCAGCCAGTAGGCGCCAGTTCTGCTAACAGTCGGAATCTGTACCTTCAACCACTCTGAGGGTAAGCCGGAGTTCTGCAGAGCTGGCCTGGACCCAAAGTACACACCAACTTTACTCCAGCCCAGAACACCCACTGAAAGTTTGTCCGACAACTTTCAACACATAATGTCTGTTGTCTGTCGTAGCAAAGAGATAACGAAAATCTCTGAAGTATCCATCAACCAAGGACTAGAACATTCTAGAATGCTAAAAATCATGCTCTGGAAAGCAATGACTGTGAGGTTTTCACGTTGGAATTAGGAATGGGGGTGAACCATCTCGCACACCTGCCTATGTTCTGAAACCTAGTCCGAGAATTGGAACTGGGATTTTTTTTTACAGGGGGAGGGACGGGGGAACTATACCTTATGATACATGGGGGACCATATGTGGTACTGGGGGTGGATCCAAGATTGGCCTCACGCAAGGCAAGTTCCTTCACCGCTGTACTATCCTATCTCTCTGGCCCTGAGACTTCTTAACAAAGGCAAGTACATCTTCATCCTCCTGCTCATCTAGGGACCGATGAGGCAGGGGATGAAGGATGCTGACAAGATGCGAATTAGTGCAAAGAGCAACACCATGAGATGAGTCTCCAACACCAGAGAGAGAGGCCGGAGAGGAGGGGGCGAAGACAGGAGACCGTTTCTTGCCTCTGCGTCCAGTTGCTTCAGCAATGAGTAGGCAACTTGGGAGGCACCTACCCGGTTTGGGTATCAAACACCCATCAACACACCTTTCTCTGCAGGGGTCCCCAGGGAATGTCTCCCCCTCCATGCCCACCCCTTCCCCAATCACAACCCCCAGCCCTGCAGGGCCCCGGAAGCCAGCGAAATGATCTCATCACCTTTCATCTGAAAAGCTACTACAGGGCCTGAGACGTAGTAACAGCCGAGGAGGGCACCTGCCCGGCTCACGGCTGACCTGGGTTCAATCCCCAGCATCCACAGATGGTCTGCTGGGCGTGATGCCTGAGCACAGCCAGGAGTCCGTCCCGAGCACAGCTGGCTGTGGTCCCAGATAAAAGCAAAACTTTGCCACTTCGAAAAACCCCTTCACAGTCATGGCCACTAAAAAAGAAACCATTAGGGGCACAAAATAAATAGCTCTGTGGCTCCAACACAATGACTTACAAATCAACCTACATGAAAAGCAAACCTCACGCGGTCAGGTGTTGGTTTCAATCCACACAATGGCCTATTCATGTGACTTAGCTAAATATTCATGTAACGACTCTTTCAGAGAGCATCAATTACTGCCACGCTGACCCTCTGGAATGTCTTTCCTTTTGTCCTAAGAAATCAGCAGAGAGCTGGGAGATGGCTCTTGGACCCCATACAAGCTGGAGGCCAGATTCCAGTCGGGGCACCTCACCGTAACCCCTGGCACAGCCAGGAGTGCCTCTGGACCCATCAGTGGACGTAGCACATGACAGGGTAGGGCCCCCGACCAAAAATAAATAAGTAAACCAAAGAAATCAACAGATGTGCGCTTACACACCATTAGGCATGCTTTGAACGTTCCCTACAGTGTACAAAAAAAGAAGAAGAAAGAAGAAGAAGAAGAAGAAGAAGAAGAAGAAGAAGAAGAAGAAGAAGAAGAAGAAGAAAAGAAACTTTAGAAAGTTGACACTAGCTAAAGACTAGATGTGTTGCTCCAAGTCCCACTCACTGGTTTAAACCATCACTGACGGGGCAACCACCTCCAGGAGAACCCCAGCACACCCAGCCCGCTCGCTCCACACCATAGTAGCCAGCACCTTGGTCTTGGCACTTGAGGAGCAATTTCAAGACAAGAGTGAAAGAATTCCGTGGGAATTTCGGGCAGAGAGCCAATTCCCCGGGGTGAAACTGCAATCATCCACACGATGGCTATAAAAAAAAAAAAAAAAACCACGCCATGCAGACATGCAGCCAGGGGGCAGGGCCTGGGCGCGGGGCTTCTTATCTCATGTCTCAGGGACGCAAGGTGGACAGGGCCCCATAAATCTAATGACCAAGTGAGAGCAGACGAGTAACGCTGCGAGGCATCTGCAATCACAGAGAGCTCTTGACTCACGACTCCACAGAAAAGGCAGCCGAGGGGAGTAGGAGAGGAGTGCCAGGGGCAAAGGAAGGGACAAGGACACCCCCTCCACGGCCTGTATCCCCAAGCCCCCCACCCCACGGCCCACCCTTGCTTGCTTCTGCCACCAGGCCTGCCTTCCTTTAGGGCGGCCTGTGTACGGGCCCTCCTTAGAAGTGGGAGGAGGAACGATTTCCCAATCTGGCCACAGTGAAATGCATCGAGGCAAAGCCTGCAGAACCTGTAAGACCTAGAAAAATAATTACTCCCTGGACTGGAGAGATAGGCGAGCAGATAGGGCGTTTGCTTTGCACATAGCTGACCTGGGTTCGATTCCCAGCATCCCATCGAGTCCCCCTCCCCCCCTTCAAGCACCACCAGGAGTGATCCCTGAGCACAGAGCCAGGAGGAAGCCCTGAGCATCGCCACCGGGTGTGGCCCCAAAACTCAACAAAAAAGGGAAAGTGATGACTCTGCCTGCTGTTGGTCTTTCCTGCATCAGCAGCCTCGTGTCCTGGGCAAAGTCACTATTGCCAGATCCCTGTTTGCCGGCTCGACTCAGAGACTGGTCAGCCCCTCCTCCACGTCCCCAAGGACTAGCAGGCAACTGATGGAAAACTCCTGGCAGGCCACACCCCTCAAGCAGCCCCTTCCCAGCAAAGTTCAGGAATGGTGGGCTCCCAGCAGGAGAACAAACCCTGCCTCCAAGGGCAAACGGACACAGAAGCAGAGAGAGCAAGTCTCCCAGCAGTGCCCTGCACGGTGTAGATGGATGCTGGTGCCCTGCACGGTGTAGATGGAACACCTTTATCCAAAAGGTCTCTGCAGCCCAGGTCATGGGAGGCTGTGGGGAAGCCGCCCGCGAGTGTGACCCTGGATCCCGAGTGTAACCCTGGATCCGTCTTGCCTGCCCTACCACTGGGGTCAATGAGGAGTGGACTGCCCTGGGGGGGGGGGGGGGCACTTCTGATGGCACACGGGGAAAGGAACTCACCCAAATCGGGAGTAAACAGGGATCTCACTGACAGCTCTGACCCTTGCTTTGATTGTTTTGTCTTGCTTTTTTGGGTCACACCCAGCAATGCTCAGGGGTTCCTCCTGACTCTGAACTCAGGAATCACTCCTGGCAGGTTCTGGAGACCATACGTGATGCCAGGGATGGAACTCGGGTCAGTTGTATGCGAAGCAAACTCCCCACTATGCTATGGTGCTGGCCCTTTCTACTCAATCCACTCTCGATCTCCTCCGAGGCTGCCCAGTGCCCCCAAAACCCATGTTTTCTTAACCATAAAACACGAATCACACACAAGCCCATGAAAAGGACAAGAAGACCCGGCTGGGATGAAGGAAGGAAAGAAATCCCAGGCTCAAGGCCTACCTGCCAATCATTCCCTACCCGGAAACCGTGGCTGCCCTCCCTCACGCCACGGGCCCACGGAAACGTTCATCAGCTTCCTCCATTTGGGCCGCTTGATGTGCTTCTCGCCAGGTGTCTGTGCCGAGATTCCCTCTGTGCCCGATGCACAAGAGCTGGGCACTGGGGCAAAGGGGGTGTACTCTGAATTGCCTTTGCTTAGGAAGTCGACACTCAAGCTGGACGGAGAGATGGAGGGTCCAGATGGGCAGCTGTTAAAAGCTTAAG